GGGCCCGTCCGTCTGTCTGTCTGCAGCTGGCGGCCGTGCAGCTGCTGAAGCGGCTTTTCCTGGCCTTAAGTGATCAGCGCTGAAATCTTAGAGGGGAAGGGGGAAAGGCGAGGGGAGGCCAAGGGGGGCGAGGGCGGCCGCACTGCCGAGACGAGCTGGCCTGGAGGAGCGCCAGCCGCATCCCAACTTGCTCCTGCAGCCCAGATGGGGATGGGGTTGTGATTCACCCCCACCCCATGCACCCACCGATGCTCATTGAGCTGAGCCTCCTTGTCCAGGGTCCCCATCCCTCCCTTGCTAGGGTCCCCCTCCCTTGCCAGGGTCCCCCTTCCTCCTTGTCCAGGGTCCCCATCCCTTCTTGGCCAGGGTCCCCATCCCTCCCTTGCTAGGGTCCCCCTCCCTTGCCAGGGTCCCCCTTCCTCCTTGTCCAGGGTCCCCATCCCTTCTTGGCCAGGGTCCCCATCCCTCCCTTGCCAGGGTCCCCCTCCCTCCTTGTCCAGGGTCCCCATCCCTTCTTGGCCAGGGTCCCCATCCCTCCCTTGCCAGGATCCCCATCCCTTTTTGGCCAGGGTCCCCATCCCTCCCTTGCCAGGATCCCCATCCCTCCTTGTCCAGGGTCCCCATCCCTTCTTGGCCAGGGTCCCCACCCTTCCCCAGTCATGGTCCCCATTGCCCCCATCTGGGGTCCCTGTCCCTGTCCTGGGCTCTCCCCGGGGCGGCGGAGGCTGGGGGACGGGCAGCCCCCGGTGCCAGCACACACCACCCATTACGATGCCATTTTTGCCTGTGGCTGGGGAGGGCTCGGCCCCTCGGCGCTGGGCAGGGCGATGCCACCCCGGCCCCGCTTTGTAATTTGGGGCAGCTGGAACGTGGGGGGACCCACAGGGCTCGGCTCCGCAGCACAGCCAGCCCAAAGAAACCTGCAATTTGAGACATTTCGGCCCTGCTCTGCTTGTAATTTGCTCTGTGGGGCTGCGCTTTGCTGTGCCAGCAAAATACCCGGGGGACGGGACGGGACTGATCCTGCGGAGCTGCACCGCGGCGTGCAGAGCCCCATGCACAGCATCGTGCACAGCCCCGTACCCTCACGCTGCCCTCCCACCGCAGGGCAGCGGCGTGC